CTGCTGATGTCACGAGCACATTCATAAATACAAGTACATAAAAGACGGTAAAGTTGGCAAACGGGTACTTCTACAATCTGCAGTGTCGTAAAATGTTCTATAGCTGTTGCAAACGAACAAAACAATGGTGGACAGTACCTGTTATTATTCCCAAAATGAACCTGCGCGTCCTGTCCATTTTGCGTTGCGCGTCAAAGCGAAGACTTCATTCCCTGTGTTGCTTCAGAAGTCATGTCCTTCATTTTAGAAGGACTATTTTATTGAACAACAACACTGAGTTGCTAAAAACTTTCCAGCAGCCTTCCCAAAGTTTACCTTCGGGTTTTCTTCAAGTTTAGAGGAGTGACGGGTTGGATGGCGATTATTGAACCGCGTGTGGGAGGCGCTAGTGAGTTATCTCCGCCTTTATGCGTGAATGAACATTTACTATGGGCTTTTACATTAGTTTAGACTAACAGAGATATTTAACTTTTATTAGGCAAAGGATTCATGTTGATACATATTGCATAAAAGTCAGCGTTTCCTATAATGGCATGTGAATGTTGCCATATTAATTAATACATGTATTTACATACTTTATGATGCTTACATTGCTTACTTTATGATGATTACATGCTTTTTTTTTTACACACCGGAACAATAGTTTGATAGCAAATAATAACTGCCAGTTCTACTTTAAACCATCTATTGGAAAACCCTGAACTTTAAAACGCATAGCCATGGAATGGCAGCAAGAGAGAGACTAAAGCACATTCAGTAAAATAAAGACTTTTATTGAGTGCAACAAAAAAAAAATCAATGACCCAGCATCACACAATATAATCATGACGTGGAGTACCATCTCTGAAACCTCGCTGAAAGAAGAAATAAAATCTTAGAATTCATGTGTCTCATGTGTCATATGTTAAGTATTTTTATGATTTATTAACACATTTACAGATTTTTTAATCCAAATATGTTTCATTTTTAAATTATGCTTTTTAAAGATAAATTAGTGAAATTATGAGATCAATCAATTCCTATTTTATTATATTGACAGTCTTTTTAGCAGTAAGTAATAAAAAATGGATTTGTGAAAGAATAAAAAATGGGATATCGTGATTATGAATACAAAATGAAGACAAAATAAAAAGGAGAAAACGCACGTCATATTTGTGAGCCCTTGGAATCAAAAAGTTAAAAAAAAAACCTGGTTCACTGAGTCATTAGAAATACTTCAGTCAGGGTCTCCTAAGGGGTAGCCTACATCTCTGACTCTCCCTAAATCCCCTCAAGTTTCCAGACGGCGCCTCTTAATGAAGCTGAGAGGGCTCTGTGGACACAGCACACTGCTGGAGTGAGGACTTCCCAGCAAACATTGGTCCGACGGCAACGTCGTTTCCCTAGCCAAAAATAGTCGCGGTAGGACGGCATAAATCGGTAAAAATATGTAACACAGAACATTTCCTAAAAATGCATTCAGATACGTTTGTACATCTCTACAGTTATCTGGGGTTGCATGTATAATTGTTACCTTGACTTTTAGCTAAGTGTAGTACAATGTGTAGCTATACCCTGTTGTGAATCAGTTGTGAGAGGACGTCCACTAGTGACGTCCTTTACACGTGCATTTATAGTCCATCACGACCCTCTATGAAATTCCTATGAAATATGCAAAAGCAATTGTGCTTACACCTTTGTTAATACTCCAATAATTAAATTAAGTGCCCTAAGTAGTTTTTAAGAGGTTGTGGGTAGCCTAACGTCCACTGACGTCCTTTACACGTCTATAGTCGACCAAAACCAATTTAAAAAAAATCAATAAATCTTTATGAAATACACAATCATTTATATTTACATCACGATCATTTGTATTTATTTTAATGACTAATTGTATTCACAAAGTGCCCTGTGTGGTTAAGTGATTGTGAAGCCACTGGATTTGAGTCATTATTCGACCCGTTTTCCCTATACATTACAATACGATTTTATTTTTTAATGAAATTTATGCATATACATATGAAACAGATATATATCCGGTCACCATTTCAAGTCTGAGTTTTATGTGAATTTCCAAAACTCTGCTGCCAAGATGTATATATTTTTTGCAAAATCCCGCGATAGGATAGATTATCTCGCGAGAGAGCGTTAACGCATTTTCCCGAAATGAAGGGTTTAATCAAGCAACATGTGAAGAATAGATGTCAGAAATACCGTTCTCTAAAAGACTACCAGTCTTTATCAGAAGTGTCCTGTTAACTTTCACAGAGTTACACCTAGTTAAGGGTCTTTCTCAAGGACACCACAGTGGTATTGATGAGGGAGGGGACAAATTGCTGTTTTTTCACTAATCTAACACGCATTTAATGCAAAACATCTTTTACTTAAGATTATTCTAGAGTAAAATAACATGTAATAAATGTTGATTACCTTTTTATAATGCATCATTTATGAAACGGACGCAAAATCTTGTTCCATTGTATTTTAAATTTAGTTGTAGAACCTTAAAGACGTTTTCAAAATAAGTAGGTGCATGTTATTGTTGATTTTATTATTATTATTATTTAAAAAAATAATAATATTCTCTTTCCTGAGATGCTGTGAAGAGGTGAAGCCCAAATGATACAGACTCAAGACATGGATTCAGCAGTGCCAGAAGGCTTTTTTAAAAAAGGAATTAATTTTTTTTTTTTTAATGTAGTATTCACAATAAAATATGTGGTAAATTAGAACACTCTTCTTTTTACTTTAGTCCACAAATGTGTTATTGTTTGTGATACACGTGGTTAAAACGTTTTATAGACGTTCGGGTCTGACTGGACCGATTTTTGACCTTTTTAGAACATTGGTCAAATTCAGATGTGCCTTTCACGATGTTGCACAATGGGTGTGTGATTATTTTATATGCAGGCTTATACTTAAATTATGCAGCAACACATCTTATAAACATCCAGAAGATGACACATTTAGACGTCCAGGGACGTGCAGAAAAGACGTGTAATTCACGGACAGAAGACGTCGGTTCAATTTTCAACCATGACGGGACGTGTCGGAGGGACGTCTTTTCAACGGTCATTAAACGTCCAAATGTTTGCTGGGAATTGTGTTCATTGGCCGTGGGATTTCTCGTGGGAGATGGAGAGGACGTGTGACTGGCACTCAGGCCGGGGTTGCCAGAGTTTGCTCTCCTCGTCGCACACAAGCCACGTATTATCAAGGGTCACTGCAGACAACGACCCCTTCAGCATCTGCCATGCTCAACTTAGCACAGACACGGCAGGGCTTACTGTGCTCGTTCATGAGAGCCACGTAAACTGTGATTTTCAGTAAAATGTGCTTATAAAGTTTTATACAGATTGATTGCATATATTTTTACAAATTTACTTTAGAATGGAAAAAGTAATAGAAATTATATATATATATATATATGATTATATTTCATATTATACATGATTGGCTGGTGATTATATTTCATATTATACATGATTGGCTGGTGAAAATTATATATATAATTTTCACCAGCCAATCATGTACATCTAAGTAAAATTATAATTGACATTATGAGATATTACAGTACAATGACATTTAATCATTTAGTAAACACTTTTATCCAAAGTGACTTAAAAATGAGGACAATAGAAGCAATCAAACCAACAAAAGAACAAAAATAAAAGTGTTGTGACACTTAGTCCCAGTTAGTCTACTGCAGTATACCTGGCGAGGTTTTTTATATAACAGATAAAAAGAATAAAAATAGAAATAGAACAGAGAGAGCTAGTGTTAGATGGTCAAGTTATTATTTTTTATAATAAATAAAAAGAAAACAAGTAGGTAGAACAGAAATAGAATCGAGAGTGCTAGTGTTAGAGGTTTTTTTTAAATAAATAAAAAGAACACAAGTAGATAGAATAGAAATAGAAGAAATGCTAGTGTTTTGAGGGTCAAGTGTAGATGGAAGAGATGTGTTTTCAGCCATTTCTTGAAGATGGCTAAGGGCTCAGCTGCTTGGATCGAGTTAGGCAAGTCATTCCACCAGCATGGAACAGTTAAGGTGAAAGTCTGTGAAAGTGATTTTGTGCCTCTTTGGGAGGGCACATAAGTCAGAAGCAGTGAACTTAGGTAAAGGGGTGCATAGTCACAATTATGAGATTTTAAAAAAAGTCATAGTTATGACATAAAAAAGGAAAAAAATGACAAAAATCATGACAATATTGTCAAAATTATAAAATTATGACAGTCGAAATTATAAGACAGTTATAATTAGCCTACTACATAACTCAAAATTAGGAGAGAAAACAATTATGACATAAAAAAAATTATGAGATAAATTATTATGAGATAAAAGCCATAATTATGACAAAGACTTAATTATATTAAATTGAACAAAATTTAAATTATGAATCAAAATTATGAGAACGTCAAAATTATGACATAAAAAGTCAACATTCTGACAATAACAACTGACAAATTGTCAAATGCTCATCATCTCATAATTTCAATAAAGCATTTTTAAACGGGATTCCTTACCTACAGGACATACAGGTTTTTGTAATGAACCTCTTCAACCTTTGGGGTATATGCCAAATAAAAGGTGAAGTATTTAACCTCACAACACTGAAAATCACCAACAATAAATCATGCTTGTGGTCTTAAAGGTCTGTGGTCTACATTCACACATCGTGTAATATGGCTTCCAAAATTATTCTTGGCCAATTCAGGCTTTCAACAGTGGTAAACATCGCCGCCCGGTGGGGAAAACAACCCACTGCAGGGTTTTGTCCACTTAGTTTGAGACACAAATTAGGCAATGAGCAAATAAAATGTTGAATAATGTTGAATCACACAGACAGAACATGTCTAAGAATCAAAAGGCTTGATTGCTATAATCGCAGAGGGCTGCATATCTGCATGAAAAATAATGAATCATTTTAACGTCAAATAAAATGTCCTGACAAATGAGTATATTGATTAAAATCAGTTTATTTTAACAGATGTAAAATAGATTAAATCCAGTGCAAGTTGTTCATGAAATATTAAACAAGTTCTTTGTGGCTACAGCCTGATATTTGTAATAAATATGAATTTTCATTAAAAAAAAATGCTGATTTTATATTAAGACACCGATTCGTTTTATTTGAGTTTGAAGTTCCCTCACATAAAATAATCTCACAGCAAAATATTTTGTCATCACACATTTTGTGTCCCTGATTCTCCAGTAAAAGCAGTCTTTATGAGAGCTCATTTGCACACCAGAGCTTGTGCTTCAATCAGAACATAGAATGCAAATGAGAACCCAGGCAGCTTGATGTGTTCTCCAGGCGGCAGCTCACGTCCCTTCAGCGGAGGAAGTGTTCGGTCATCCACCATCCTCAGCACTTGTCCATTCAATTTGACTGACCTAGAAGATGGACAAAAAGTGGGATTGTTACTACAACAGTTGATGTATAACGTGTCTAATAGCTTCCAAGATTTTAGGTTAAAATGCATATGAATAAATAAGGGAAAGTGTACGTATATCTTAACTGGTCACATTTTTTTACACTTTTATACCACTTTCATTCATCACATTTCTGACTCATTTTAAACCGTTTGAACAAATTACCTAATAAAATGATTCAACGTTGTCTATATTACAGTGGGGAAAAAAAGTATTTAGTCAGCCACCAATTGTGCAAGTTCTCCCACTTAAAAAGATGAGAGAGGCCTGTAATTTTCATCATAGGTATAATAACGTGTCTAATAGCTTCCAAGATTTTAGGTTAAAATGCATATGAATAAATAAGGGAAAGTGTACGTATATCTTAACTGGTCACATTTTTTTACACTTTTATACCACTTTCATTCATCACATTTCTGACTCATTTTAAACCGTCTGAACAAATTACCTAATAAAATGATTCAACGTTGTCTATATTACATGCAGTCTTTCTATTAATCTGAGGTAATAAAAGTATAGTAAAGTGTAGTATAGCATCCCCAAAAAAATGATTGCATTGTACAGTCCAAACATTGTGAGATCACGAGACATTACCTGGAATAAAGACTCCGTTCACCAGCCTCAGCTGATTGTAGCACAAATGCTTCAATTGTGCTGTTGGCCATATGGTCAGGCAGAATAATAATGACTTCATTTTTGTTTAGGTTTAAGGCAAATAAGGTCACAGCACCTGGTCTATAATGTGTGCTGAAGAAGAAAAGGATACAATATGAAAGGTTAAGGTAAATGTCTTTAGAAAATAATTATAGTGAACAAGAGAATACAAGTACCTTTTTCTGTTGGTGCAGTGAAGGTATACCCGTATTGGTTTCTTTGGTCTTGAATTCATATTAACTTCTGCTTTTAAAACCTCTGGGCCAACAAGCCTTTTGTATAGCAATGATAGCCAATAATCCTGCCGTATGTATGAAATAGTTAAAAATACAAAATGTAATGTAAAGAAAGAAAAAAAAATAGGATAACTGACTGGTCCAAGTTCCTGGACTGATACAGAAGTTATGTAACAAAGATCAAACACATAAGAAACACTTACTGGAAGAGGATCTAGGTTATCATCCACTAAATGGTAAGTGCCAGAACCAATTAACACCTGTCTAATGACGACATCCAAACCAAGTTTGGCAGCAAGTCCCAGTTTGTCCAGCCACCTTCGATAAACAAAACAGCTATAAATATCTATAGTAAATAATAATAAATATTTTTTATTTTATATATATATATTACATTTTACAAGAAATGAATACTTTTATTCAGCAAGGATGCATTGCATTGATCAAAGGTGACAGTAAAGACATTTATAATTTTACAAAAGATTTATAGTTCAAATAAATACTTCATATTCAAAGAATCCTGACAAGATTTTCCACAAAAATATTAAGCACCACAATTGTTTTTAACATTGATAATAATAAATGTTTCTTGAGCACCAAATCAATATATTAGAATGATTTCTGAAAGATCATATGCCTCTGAAGACTGGAGTAATGACTGCTGAAAATTCAGCTTTGCCACCGTAATAAATTATATTTTATAATATATTAAAATAAAAAAACTGTAATTTTAAATTGTAATAATATTTCACAATATTACTGTTTTTACTGTAATTTTTTAATTAAATAAACGCAGACTTGGTGGGCATTAGAGACTTCTTTTAAATACATAAAAAACGACTAATCACAAACTTTTGAACGGTAGTTTATAAAAAACAAAAACAAATTATATTTAAACTGTTGAATTCACATTCAATTATAATTACTTAAATGGAAAATCATATATATATTTGTTTAATTAGGACAAGTAGAATAATTATGGAAACTTGTGTATCAATAACTGAGTTAAACTGCTATTTCTTTCACTGCCATTCTTATAAACTGATTTGAACACACTGGAAGTTTTAATTTATAAATCCATAAATGTTTTTAGACTTACATGAAACCAGCTACAAATGTGTCGGAGAGGCCAACAGCACCTCCACCATATGCCGAGCTTGTCTCTCCTAGCCAAACCTTCTTCCCCGGAGAAACAGATTCAACAATCTGAAGGCAGAAAGTTTATCAGTTAATTTCAGTTATTATCTGACATTTCTCACTGCTGAATCTGATCAATCTGATTGCCACAAAAGACTTTCTATTTTAATATATTGTGCAGGATTACTCTGGTACCTCGAGGACCTCGTTAATTTTTGTTGCGAGAGTATCAAGCACTTCAGGGTCAAGGAAATCCTCTAAAGACGTGTCTCGGCCATTCACATAATAGCTGTAAAGAATAAAAACGAGAACAAGTTCAATACAAAGACTCATAAAAAGCCAATTTAATTTATTTCTGATTTTGTGAAAGGAAGGAAGTAAATCATAACTTACTGATGCCAGGTGCATGCAGTAATGGCCTTTGCTCCAGTCTCCAAAAACCTATAAAAGTGAATGTTCAACCATGTTACCATTCTTCGATACCCAAATGCATTAGTAAGACTGATGGTGCAGACAAGAGGCATCTCTGAAAGTCCATTAAAAATTAAGAACTATTTTCTCTGGACACTTACCCAGTTAACAAATCTTTGCGGTGATCTCGTGGCTGACTGACATCTGGTCCATATAGTCCTGTTGAGTGGTAGACCGCAGATTGCTGAAGGATTTGATGCAAATGGACAAAATCCTGACCGAGCTGGTACCCATCCACTCTGATTCCAGCTTTTTTCTCATAACTGTTGGGTTCTAAAACAACAGATTTAAATTCAAAACAGGTACATGTATACATGCATTAGCAAAAATCAAACGAAAGATCCAAAATCTTACCATTTCCCAGTTCCCAGGACATCACATACTGCCTGGACTCACAGTACTTCAACAGCAATTCTGCGTTTGTGCTGTTCCATGTGTTTTCACTGGTTCGGAGCAAAGCATTCAAACCGAAGATGAGGTCCAAACCAGAGCAGTTCGCAAAAGCGTAGAGCAGATCGACTGCATATTCTGTGAGAAACACAGACACTTGACTTTTCCTTTCACAATAACGATCAGTGAAAATCTGAATACATTACTGGGTTCAACATTAAAGATGGACGAGGGTCAGTGTGAGAGAGTTTTGGGTCAGTTGATGGCTTTGCAAACATTTTTGTGATGCATTAATTTTATCTATCTATCTATCTATCTATCTATCTATCTATCTATC